AATACTGGGTATAATAAAACATGCGTTTTAGTAGTCAGAATGGTAGAGGGGCACCGGTACTGGTGTTGATATACTGCAGCTTTGGTGTGGCTGGATCACAGCCTCACAGTGACACCTCTGGAAGAACCTCCTGTTCTGGAGAATCATTGCTTTATGAAACAGTTAGTTAAATAATTGGATTTTCAAAGAGACAATTTAGCTGCTTTTGTTTTATTTTATTTTCAAGCTACACATATGAGGATGAAGAGGGTGTGTTTCCAGAAAGCCAGTTTGTCTTTGATTTGGAACTTCCTTTGGAGTTTAAGCCCATAATAGGGGATGGAGAGGTGCAGGAGTTTTACCTCCTCCCCATAGATAAGGTTAGTGTTTTTCTCATACTATAATTTGGGAATTCAGCTTCTAGGAGCCAGTACTGCATGGGTTGAGATATAGATGACACAAAGATATAAAATATAGCATCTTGTTTCAGGTGAAGGAACTGCTGGCCACTGATGACTTCAAACCCAACTCTGCCATGGTAGTCTTGGACTTTCTCATAAGACACTCGTACATTGACCCTGACACAGGTTTGTGGGTGTTTGCAAAATGTCCACAGTCAAAAAACCAGCTCACTGCCTTAGTTCTCTTTTTGTTATCATTTCAGAGCCGTACTATCAGGACTTTGTGACAGGACTCCACCAGATATTATAGAAAGAAGATGAAGATTAAACTCACTGTGCCTGAGGCACCATATGTCATGTGGTGCCAACATTGTTGTTCACATTTACAGTTGCAAGAAACATCATAAAAATGTGAACTTTTCTTTAGTGTTTCTTTAGAAACACTAAAGAAAAGTCATACACTTTATTGTACAACATGTTAATATTAAATATAGTGAGTTATTATATTTCACAGGTGTTTTTCATGCAGTTTTGTTCAGTGGGCTCAGCCTGATAACTGCAGGTGAGTGGTTCAGAGGATGGCTGAACCACATGAGTGCTGGATTTAAGAATGACATGTAAGAGTTATCATGCACAACACTTTGCAGGTGTCATGCAGACCTCAGAGTAAATATGCTCTGTATTATCTCTAGTCATAGTACGACCTTTTAAGTTCAAAGTGCAATATCAGTTTCTGCACTTCAACCCATTAAATGCAGTAATCATACTTGATTCAAATCTAGTCATCTCCTTATATACTGCAAGTCTATAGGATAAAAATATAGAGAAGAAAAATATGTTATGTTATTCTTTTGAGTATGTAGAGCTCAAAGAGAAGATAAGCAACCTCATTAGAGTAAAGCACACATGGATATTTGCTGTGTAGGCGGGTGGTTTGTGGGATCCAGCACTGGTCACATAAACCTGACAGAGCGTGGAGCTGTGTTTGGTACTGCTGAAAAACTGTGTACACAGTGATATATACGACAATATACACATATAACACTCCAAAAGAAGAATGTTTTGAGATTCCTCACAGCAATAAAGTGGAACTTGCGAGTTCATCTTTATTTATTGGTGCTTTCTGTTGTAAAATCTTAAGAGTGTTCACTGGACCAGTCTTCATCACAGGTTTTTCTACAGTTGCTCGTGACACTTGCACAGTAACGAAGAACAACTTTGGACCAGTCCTTCTGCGAGGTGTTTCAGTTCATCAACAGTTATGGAATATCTTGATTATAAAATATCATCGCATCATGCTACACCACCTCATGTGGGTTAAGCACAGGCCTCCCTGATTTTTTTTTTGAACAATTCTGATATTAATTTACATCCATGCTTTGGGTAATTTATCTTATTTCATCAAACTGTCCTAAGATTCAACTTGTGAATCGCTCGCTAGATCCAGTGCAAATAATCAGACTCATTGATTCAATTTATTGTTCCTTTAATGACTGTAAAGCCTCAGATGTACTTCCACTTGCATGCCCACTAGTGTCAGACTTTAAAGTAATGACTCCTCGGGGTCTCCAGTTGTCTGTGTCCACAATGGAATATATTTGAGGATGAAGAGATCAGGCGTTGATCCCAAAACATGCTTCCTCCACCATATGTCAGTGTTGGGATGAGGTTTGATGTGCAGTGCATTGTTTTTGAAAAAACAGCAACAGTCATTTTATCCGCTGAACTGCTAAACTGTAAGGTTTTTAGAATGGCTTTCATAACCTTCTCCAGCCTCTCTGCATCTCTCTGCATCTAAAGCCCTTAAATGTGGGGCTCACACACACTTACATCATAAGTCTGCCAAGTGTTGGCCAGTAATTACACTGTGGTTTTTATGTTATTTTTCCTTTGTGAGGCAAAAACTAGACTCATTGCTTATCTGGAATACTTGAATATTATAACAGTTGAATGTTTGCAGTATGGAGTTGGGATTAAACTTGGCTATTGATGAGGTTATAGCATCGATGGGGAATATGTTCCTGTTATACGTTTGCAGACACATGGACATCTACACAGACCATCATGCTCACCATCTTGAGCCAAGACTTGGACACTCTTAAGTGGGTAAGAGGACAAAACACATGAGAAGTGACACACACAGCAGATTTGGTCATTCTCAAATGTATTTCCTTTAGAAAACTTTACAAAAGACTACTGGATATAAAAGAATATTTTGCTTACAAATAACCAATCCTATAGAAGATCCTTGCATTTTGCATTTCAGAATTTGGACATTGTGTGTTTTTATATGACACAGACATTTGAAGCTATGTGCAAATAATACAAAAGTAAGCTGATGGAATATCCCATAGTTAAAATAGCATACAATGGAATGCAGAGCAGGAAAGAAAAACAAAACATATAGGTACACTATAAATGTTCAAACTTGTACTTAAATAATGAGTTACATATTAGCCTCACAACATGCTTTAAAGTAGCATAATGTAAATTTCCAGAGCCCTAATTCCATCAGTACAACACAAAGATATTAGAAGAGAAACACTGTTCTTTACCAAGTGTGTCCAGTCTTAAAAGCCTTCTAGTTACAGTCTAACTGTAGCACTGATGGAATTAGTGTTGTAGAAATTGTACATTATATTAACTCTTCAAGACAGCAGGTGAACAAGACCGGATCAGAAACATGGAGGTGTCGCATTAAAACTGGAACTGCTCGACTCGAACACAATCCTTTCTTCTATAAACATCCACTCCTCTGTGTCAGAGGTACACCGAGGCCTCTTTAATATCTGACAGTTAACAAAAACTCTGTTCAGGATCATTTGCCTTTGTTAGCGCTTCTATAGCCAACTACATACAGTGTTAGACAGTCCACATCAGTTTAATGACTTGAAAAACAAAATCGAGCAATCAAATTTTGAAAAGTTGTACAAAACACTGGTAATTTAATCTTACACACAAGGTCTGGCATCACACAAAGTCCTTGTTTTGAAAGAGAAGCGCAGACTTTTATTTTGAAAAACAAAAAGTCAGAAATGAACCACAGTCTATGACTACATCATACACAACTAATGTAATCATGCATTACTGTAATTTTATTGGAATACCTGTATTGGAGTAGAAAGGCCGATTCTTAGCACAGTGTTCCAATGGCATGTTGTTACTAATTCAAGTTTATCATGTTAGGAGGTTAATTCATTACATTTTTAAACTTTTAGCTAGCTGAGTAACTGAAACATCATCCTTTGTGTGTTCAACCATAATGTGTTATGAAAGTGAACGCTATTGCATGCAGGAAACTGCCCAGAACATTGTACACAATATTATTCCCTTTATAGAACAGCCCAACTGAGCAGCAGGCCAAATACATGAGTCTGCTGTCTGAGAACAACACCTGTTAAACACTAAACAACAAGAGCTGAGAAGCAGATCAGGAACGCCTGCTTAAAAACAGTGGGGAAAAAAGACACCACCTTATAAAATGAATAGAGGGGTAAAGGTTTTGAATCCATTTTAAAATTATTTTGTTTTTAATTCTCTTAATGGTTTTGCCCCTGAGCTGCTTCACCCTTACATGCCATCACATGCTCTTACATCAGCTAACCAGGTGCTTTTATAAATCAAAAGGAGACCCAGCTTCTGCAGCTTTGGCTCCCAAAATGTGGGATGAGCTGCCTCTGGAGGTCAGGCAGGCTCCATCCCTCACTGTTTTTAAAACCTGTTTAAAAACACAACTTTTAACTCACACACCTGGCTTTTAACCCAGTGAGAGTTGTCGTCTTCTTACCCTTTGTATGTACTTTTACTGATTTATTCTTTTGTTCTCTTATTTTCTGTACAGCACTTTGGTCAGCTGTTATGTTGTTTTTAAAGTGCTTTAGAAATAACGTGGGGAAAAAAGAACAGATGTTGGACAGAGGAAGTCAGGGAGAAAGTTTTATGAACAGATAAACCTAACAGAGGTATTTGGGTCAAAAAGAATATTTCTGAGACAAAGACTGAAGGATCATGGACGTGTGCCTGCCACCTGTCAAGTGGCACTTTGTAAAAGTTTTGGAGGTCTTTGGGGTGAAGTGGGAAATTCTGGGAAATTCAGGACAACATCGGATCCTGTGGATGCAAACTGACTGCAACAGCACAGTGAGCCATAGAATGACTCTAAACTATACAGAAGCAGCTGAGAACCCAGCACAGTCATTGGGTCTCAGTCCACTCTCACCCACATTAAACTGGGAGCTTCTGGAAGAATGAACTAAAATGTCAGCAAACTGACAGTAGAATGCTGGAAAGACTCAACTATTTTTGCAAAAATCATTATTTCTAACTTTTTAATATCAATAATAAAGAATAAAAGTGTGATTTTTATTGAATTATTTAATTTGACATTTGGCGACTTGTACTTTTGAGCGGTAGTGTGGATTTTGAATGTGAACCTGCAGCGACAGGTTACTTCATCATCATAAAGGAGGAAATCAGGTCTGTATAGAGTTGGTTGGTCATTGCAGAGAAATAAAGGAAATGACAAAAGTACAGACTAATAGGATGTTAACTGAAAGAAGCGCCACAAGCCAAGTCCTCCAGAAACTTGTTCATATGGTACACAGCTGTGAATGTACTGAACACCTGGGATGGATCAGTTCTAAAGATGGGCTCGTGTACAGACCATCAGGCTGCAATTTAGAATAACGGAGACCACTTCATAGGTCTGGAAATCCCAACGCACCTCTTTAAGAGAGATGGTTCCTTCTCTCCATGTTCTCTTGATTTTAGGTTTGATGAATCCAAAGATATGATTACAGATTAAAGGCAGATTAAACCTTGGACATGAATGCTTACACTCCCCTTTTGACCTAGTTTGATTTTCTCCCTTATTCCTGAAAAGGCCCCATTCAATTCTGCACAGCATGGTGACAACGTAGAAACAGGAGGAATGATTTTGTTGGCAAGGATCCTTTCCTCCTGTCCTCCCTAACCTGTGTAACTTGACACTCTATAGCAGAAGGCAGCCACTCTTTCTGCCTCGTTTCTTGGCCTGTAGCGCCGCCCTGGTGGCCATCTCAAACACCTCCCTCACACCATCCTTCGTCTTGGCTGAGCACTCCAAGTAACCAAAGGCATTGATCCGGTTGGCCATTTCTCTCGCCTCCTCTGACTTCACAGGTTCCTGTTTGGGAAGAACAAAACCATGAAGGAAAACCAGCTCAATCCAATGAAAAAGAAGAAGTGAAATCATTATTCGACCCTCTGTGGGATTTATACGTTTGCTCACTTAGAAGAAATGAACACACTCTAATGTTCATGGTAGATTAATTTTAATGGAGATCAGTAAGAGTAACCGAAGGTCCAGAAACAAAAAAAAACATTTAGCCCACAGATTACAATCAATCAATTCCAGACACTCCCCATCTGAACTCTTTACTGTAAATGTATAAAGCACACCTGTCCACAGTATGGTATATGCAGAAGCCTGTCTTAAGTTTACCAGTAAATCATCAAGCATGCCGGAACTAATTTCTGATGTGATCAACACTAACGGTGGAGCTGCTCATGACCGAGTTCATGTTTGGACCTTTGATTTCTGTTTTGGGGGGTTTTACAGGGTTTTTTTGAGGTGTGGTCCTAAACTTTTGATCAGCTGTAAAACAGCCTGTTTCAGTTTAAATGTTGTTTTCAAAAATAATTGTTTTGTCTCACTTCCATTTCTTCATGTTGCATTTTGAAGCTCTACTTGGAACCTTGTTAAGATCCAACCATGCAAAATATGATTTTTTTGCTTTGTTGACAACGCTGCAAACCCTCGGCCTTCTCTCAGTGAGCTTCATGCTGTAGTCACCTGAAATGGTTTCACTTCACAGGTGTGCCTGTCAGGGTTCATTTGTTGCCTTCTTAATGAGGTTGGGACCATCAGTTGTGTTGTGCAGCAGTCAGGTGGTACAAAGCTGACAGCCCTATTTGACAACTGTTAGAATTCATATTATGGCAAGAACCAATCAGCTAAGTAAAGAGAAACAACAGTCCATCGTTACTTCAAGAACTGAAGGTCAGTCAGTCTGGAAAACTTTGATTGTGTCCCCGAGTGCAGTCGCAAGAACCAAACGCTATGATGAAACTGTCTCACATGAGGACGCCCCAGTCCTCTGCTGCTGAGGACACATTCATCCGAGTCACCAGCCTCAGAAATCACAAGTTAACAGCAGCTCAGATTAGAGCCCAGATAAATGCCACACAAAGCTCCAGTAGCAGACACATCTCTACATGTTCAGAGGAGACTGTGTGAATCAGGCCTTTATGGTCAAACAGCTGCTAAGAAACCACGACTAAGGAAAAGCAACAAGCAGAAGAGATTTGTTTGGGCCAAGAAACACAAGGAATGGACATTAGACCAGTGGACATCTGTGCTTTGGTCTGATGAGTCAGAATTTGAGATGTTTGGTTCCACCCGTGACGCAGAAATGGTGAACAATGGTCTCTACATGCATGCACTGTGAAGCATGGAGGAGGAGACGTGATTGTGTCAGGGGGCTTTGCTGGTGACACTATTGGAGATTTATTCAAAACTAACGACACACTGAACCAGCATGGCTACCACAGCATCCTGCAGCAACATGCCATCCCATCATTGATTTTTCAACAGCACAGTGACCCCAAACACACCTCCAGGCTGTGTCACGGCTGTTTGACCAAGAGAGTGATGGAGGCCTGGCCTCCACAGTCACCTGACCTAAACCCAGTGGAGATGGTTTGGGATGAGATGGAGCGCAGAGTGAAGGCAAAAAGACCAACAAGTGCTCAGCATCTCTGGGAACTCCTTCAAGACTGTTGGAAACCATTTCAGGAGACGACCTCATGAAGCTCATGGAGAGAACGCCAAGAGTGTGCAAAGCAGGAATCAAAGCAAAGGGGCTGTTAGGAAGAATCTAAAATATCAAACATGTTTTCAGTTATTTCACACTTATGTGTTCATTCATAGTTTTGATGCCTTCAGTGAGAATCTACAATGTAAACAGTCATGAAAATAAAGAAAAACCATTGAATGAGAAGCTGTGTCCAAACTTTTCACTTATATCACACTTTATATCAAAACAAAAGTTAGTAAATATATTTGTCTTCATTATCAGTGGCTGCAGCCCTATAAAAAAACCTAATGAATGTTAGTGGAAACTGTAGTAGACTAAAGGCTGACACACAAAAGTTATGGACATTTTTGTCATTAGTTATGTTAGTGTAGTGTTTGTGTGGTGGGATTAATATGAAACTGTATGAGTGCATGCCGTCACTGACCTGTTTCATTTTAGCTAACTCTCGGCGCGTGTGCTCATCATTTCGCAGGTCTTTCTTGTTTCCCACAAGAATAATGGGCACATTGGGACAGAAGTGCTTCACTTCTGGAGTCCACTTCTCCGGAATATTCTCTGCATCAGGTACAATGTGGACAAGGTAAACATGCAGCAGATATAAAAGAGTTTTTTCATTTTTTTTAATGAAACCAACAGAAACAGACTCACCTAAACTGTCAGGGCTGTCAATGGAAAAGCACATGAGGATGACATCTGTGTCTGGATATGACAGAGGCCGCAGTCGGTCATAGTCCTCCTGACCTGCTGTGTCCCACAAGGCCAGCTCCACCTGCAGGGGAGGGACTATAGTTAATTCCTACTACACACACCAATTCTGCTTAGGGTCATCAAACACAGGCCCATTTTTATCATGTAACAGCATGCTATGAAGACAGGTGGATGGAAGCCATTCAGGCATGTATGTAAGTGCATGAGGTGTAAATCATTGATTAGTGTTCTAGCTTACACAGAGTCCTAAAATCGAGGGCATGAGAACTCGACTGATGAAGGTGCAGACAAACTTAAGGGGGCGACAGTAGAGAAGAAAAGAGCAGCACAACCCACCAACCTCTTGGTGACATCTGCCCCCAAGATCCTTGTTTGAGGAGGCAGACATTCTCTCAAGATTAATGTGATCTGCAAGTAATTTCTATACCGAGTAATGCATTGATAATTGTTT